CTTTTAACACATATGAGCCAGGGGGGATATCTTTGTTTGTTGATCAAGAAATGTTAACCCCTTGCAGTTTTTTTGTTTTTACTATAACTTTGTGATAATTCTCATTGGCTGAAATGTGGTCGTTTGGCACTACTTTTACTGAATCGATGATTCTGTTAACGCCCAGGTAAAGAAAAATGTGGTAGTGAACAGTAAGGGAAATATCATGGAGCATTTAACTTATAAATGCAAGTATCAGCATTGCAGAACACGCTTCCATTGCAGCCGTTGTGGTTGTTCATGTGATAGATTATCCTCTGCAGTAAAAATATCTCAAAAGTGCAGTGGGAAGCAGCCAATGAATCCTCTAGTAATTCAGAAATGAAAAAAAAAGTAAATCAAACTCCAGCTACTTTTTGGAGGAATTTACTCTTGAACAGGCAATACATCCACCACACGATAAAATTTATAGCCCAAAGTATATAGACCGGTTCAAGAACGATGTTGTTAAAATGTTCAAGAAAGGTCTCAATGATGAGTAGAATAAAATGGACACAAGAAGAATACTTGAAGAACTGCACTCTACATATCCTGATCAATTCGATATACCGTCCTACATGGAGATTCGTCAATGTATCACAGCCCTAACAGCAAAGTAATAAAAAAAAAAAAGTACCCTAAACATTACTTCTTTCAGAGGAATACAGCAACCTTACAAAGACACATTGATGTCCATTGCATCTGAATCGGACAACACCATTACACATAAAAATGCAGTCTGTGAGTTCAAGATGCAGCATAAAGATGACATTCACAATGGAAATTTCCTAAGTGATAATCAACTGAAGTCATTTAATTTCCCTTATGCAGTCATAACAAAAGAAGAAGAGCCAAACAGCTACCATCACATAGTAATTGTATTACCATACCTATATGCTTTACTATACATATTCACTTGGAAACAAAGCACCATAATGTTTTAAATATTTATGCAATTTTTTGTAAAAAAAAAAAAATCTTGAACCAAGAAACTCTCACATCTACATACATGGTTTTTAACAGTTTCCATACTGAAAAAGTTTTGGTAACCAACAACACCATGGTAAAAAGACTCCCCCTGTCTAATACAAACACATTAAAATGCTAATCTACCATTATATAAAATCAGAATAAGTTAACTTTCAATGCTAAACTCACTTAGGCTTCTCAATGACTTTTTGTATCATGAGATCAAGAACAGGTTGACTAACATTATTCTTACCTCTTCCTCTCCCCTATATAGTCTACACGTGTTGCCAAACCAAAGTCTCCTAGTTTGATTTCCATTTCATTACTGAGGAACAAATTGCCAAGCTTAAGGTCTCTATGTATCACTTTTTGCTCATGAAGGTATTTACAGGCTGTACCAATTTGTTGCATAAAGTAGCGAGTCTCTGGTTCTGTTATCACTTTCCTCCTTTTGTGCATTTCCATGAGAGACTATATAAATATATATATTCTTTAAAGGTTACCCTGTATATCATATGCCAATATTACAAAAGAAATAGAAACTAAACATAACTTGTAAGGTATGTCTATGTATACTCCATTAGCTCATTTCCATCAATCTTTTTTATTATACACACATTTAATATAATCCATTGACTGATTGA